CCTAATCAAAACCAATCCAATCAATCGTTTAGAACCTAATCAAAACCAATCCAATCAATCGTTTAGAACCTAATCAAAACCAATCCAATCAATCGGTTATAACCTTCCAACAGTACACAACAGCAACCTAATAAGCCGAAGTTAATCCACGACAACGTGACACGTGGCAGACACCAAAACCTACTTGAAAAATCTTCTCGATCACCCTTCGCAGGCATCCTCGATCGAATAGGATGGAACGCAGCTTTTGGAGCCGTGGACCGTTCGCCAACAACCGCGCCCGCATGCGCTCACTGCCACTAAGCGAATTTAATCGTCAGGAAATCAGACACTGCATACATATTGATTAACATAACTTATTACCTTATACGATACGTGATCATTGCGATTAGCTGAGCACGCATCCTCGATCGAAGAAGATGAAGCAGTTTTTGAAGCCGCTTACCGTAGAGCAACGACCGTGCCCGTGTGAGCTCACTGCCGCTATACAGATTCAATCGTCAGGAAATCGAACATGCGTGATCACTGAAATCAGCTTCACCTCCCCGACTTGATTAAGTAAAGCAATTAAAAACCTATCAGGTACCAAGTCCTATTTACGAGGATAAAGCGGGAGTAAGAGAAAAAGAGAGATATCAGCAATGCTCAGCTCTTGCTTGCGAACAGAAAACGACCCCCCTTTGAAACCCAAATATTAAATCCGCGCGTTCACACAATACTCGAGAGCTGTCAGCACCTTCTCCCGCACGATTCGATGGCGTCCGCTCATCGGGTTAATCTCGCGCCAAGCCTCGCGGCTTCCACCTTCCATAATACCGAGAAAATATAACAAACACATCCGATCAGCTAGACAAAAATGCCGAGATAAGGGAGCCTACCACTACTCACCACATACACAAAAGACAAATTATGCCGGTGCATCTTTCCACGTTCTACCGGAAAAAATTCTCATTTTGCATATTCGGTGAGTAGTGGAGCGAGGCCCGAGTTATCATATCCAAGCACTCGGTCAACCGGAAAAGCAAATCTCGAAACAATGCAGGCCAAATGCAGGCACAACCAGAAGAGTGAGAGTGGAGCTACATGTGAAGGTTCTTCAGACCCTAGAGACGCCATGGAGCCATTGCAGATCATGGAGTACATATACTGCTAAAAGCAACTGAAGAAGATCATCTATACAGAGGATTTTTGTTTGGGGGGGGGAGGAGCGGGGAGGGAGGCGACGGGGAATAGAGAATATGTGCAGATAGGAGAGTGGGAGTTGTTCTCACGGCTGCAGACAGGAGAGCGAGCTAGATTGGGTCCGCTGTGGTCGTGATGGAAAGGCTGTCGTTCAATAAGCTCGATGCCGTTAACGATCAGGAAGACAAACAGCACAGCTTCGTATGTTAAGACACGCGCTGATGGGGCAAAGCAGCATAACTTGATGAGAGCGGCGAGGAGAATAAAAGCCTCGACAACAAAACGAGAAAAAAAAAGGAGAGAAGGTTTCTGCGTGAGCATAGGACATACTGTTCCGATAGCTAAAAGAGACTGGAATACTGAGAGAAGGTGAGGTCGAGACTTCATACGCCTACAGACGTCTGCATTACTATTATATACATCCATCTATACAAGCATCTAAAGAGTATAGAACGGCAGTTACAGCCGCATTCTGCACAAGAGAAAAAGGTCCTGAACTCACAAGGAGAGTGCTTCAAAAGAGGCGCATTAAGCGATCAATGTACCTCGAGCAAACACGTATCTGGGGCAACAGGACAGGTTAGCAAATGAAAAAGGCTTCCGCAATGACGATGACAAAAAATCTCCACATGGAACTCACACCATCGGGATCAGAATATGACGTCGATAACCTTATAGAACAAGGAACGGCCGCATCAAGTGACCAACTGGTTCAGCATATACTACGGGCCTCGGCGCACCACTCACTATATATGCACAAAAGACAATAAGCAGTGCAAACTTTGGTTAGTGGTTCGGCGTGGCGTGGACCTATTTGCCACACATACCTCCTCACACGATCAGGATCGGACGATGACAATGACTTCACTCGTTAACCTTGTAGAAATGGAAACCGTTAGATCAACTAACCACGTATTTAGACCACTACGGCGTACACTATTTACACCACATACCGCCTCACGCGATCAGAATTGGACGAGGGCAACGACTTACAAACAACAAGAGCATACGTCTTTGTCAACAAACCATGAATTGGACACAGCGGTTTTATCAACTAACCACGGAGTTAGACCGTGGGCACGATTTACCATACTACATACCTTTCACTGACGCAGAACTCTGCGCTGCCTTCTCCTCTCTTGCCATTCTACCCTTCAGATACGCAGAGATTTTCGACGGGCGGCTGTCTGGTGCATACAAGGCCATCCTAACCTTCAGCGAATTCCGCCCGCCGATAGAGGTTACCTCGATCTAACTTCAGCCAAGTTCTCGCTAACTTCCGCACACGCACACACTGCACGGCCGCGCCACCGAGCGGCGAGAGCTGAGAGCGAGACAGGGACGAGAACGACGCAAACCCTGGTCGTTCGACAAAAGTCTGAGAAAAGCGTCAGCTCAAAATCAATCCGGCCTCTATTACCGCGATCGCAGCGCGCAGGGACGACGTTGTTGTCGGAATTACACCACAATCTCACCCCGCACACCCCTTCTGACAAGTGTCCTTGTCATCCACCCACCTAGGCTGCTACCACTACTAAAGCGGCTACGCAGCGACAGCTGGTTCAAATGCAATCCCTGTCGAGACAGGAGGCTATGGCCATGGGAATTCACCGCAGTCCTGTTGAGAGATTCAGCACTAAGCAAAAGATTCCAGAAGAGTGATCATGAGAAGGCTAGCATCGGGAGGCAGACGTTACCATGGGAGGAAGAAAGTACACCGACCAGTCCAGGGCGGATTGCTGCAGAATCATAGCCGACAGCCCAGTTCTCTGCATACTCTAGACCACTACTGAAGGCTGCTTCCCTATCCCGGATCGCAATCGAGACGCCATATTACTAATAAAAGAACCCCGAAAAAGGGAACGGCACAACACTGGCAAAGGACCGCAAAGCCTAAGGAGGTCGCAAGAAGAGAGCCATCCACAAACATCGCACGAAAGGGAGAGAGAGAAAAGGAACCTTGAGACGGGGATCGACAGACCCCTGGCAAAGGACTGCGAAGCCCGAGGAGCTTGCGAGAAGAGAGCCACCCACACACATCGGAGGAAAGAGTATCAGGAACGTCATCAAGGCGGCTTCCATGATCACGCAGTAATCATGACAGGCTCTATTCCTCGTTGGGAACAGAAGATCGGGGGACGGGAAGGCTAATGACATTATCGACTGTGAACGTAAGGTAAGCGAGAAGAAGAGGTTGGATAATGGAAGATTATTCCTCAAAACAAGGAAAACAAGACCACTGACAATATAGGTGAATTTGCCGTTGCCAATCATTCTGATCAAGAGACGTGATGAGAAGAGGGGCTACGATTAAGAGGAATCCCAGCAAAAGACAAGGGAGAGGAAAAGTGAGGATGAGATCGATGAATCAGGCGGGACAGGTGATGAGTCGACGCATCAACGGGACCTACAAGATCTACGAAATCTACAAGACGACGAAAGAGGAAATAAACATGAGATCGGCGATGATAATCGCGGCGAGTCACGGTAATCAGGATGACGATGGCGGCGAAGTGTATTGGGCAACATTCAAACAGACGAAGCACAAAGACGACGGTGAGAGGGAATGAAGAGCACGACGTGAATGCATTGCGCATCAGGAGGATAATCGTGGAGACAGTGAGGGCTTTCCTGACACAGCCAGAGTAGTGAGTGCAGCGAAAGGTGATAGGAAACAAAAGCATTGCAAGGTCATGGCTATGGCGGCGGCTATGGGAAGAGTAGTGAAACGACTACGAAAGATAGCCAGCATAACGATGTTTCCTCTATCTATTCTACATAACCCTGAAGGCGACAATGATGCTGATCGTCTTCCTAGTCAGGACAGGACGCTGGCATCGTGTCGGGAATACACGGGGAAGATAAGCACGACATTGACACGAAAGCACTGGGAGGTGGAATATATCCGAGACCACTGTTAGATTCGTAAGGGCAATGGATAAAGGGAGCGAGCCCACGCAGGGGAGGGAGGGGTGGAAGGAGAGGGCAGGAGGTTTTAGACAACATCAGGGTCTGAGGAGGAAGTGGGAGAGGGGACGGGGAGAACAAGGAGCATTGCCAGGAAGGTGCCGTGAGTAAGAATAAGAATCTCTGGTTGCAGGCATGTGAAAAAGGGGGAGGGGAAGGAGAGCAGGAGTCAGGAGGACGTTCTGATATACGGTGCTAATCTACCGACTTGATGCCCCTCCTCTCTGTGAGAAATGGGCACATCGAATGATGTTGCACATCAGACCTCTTCCTCTTGACTAGATAGCTGTTATAACGGATAATATTTGAATAATCTCTGACAATCATCTATTAATCAAAGTAAGGAGACAATCATTGAGATAATCATCGAGGTAATCATTGACAAAATACAAAAAAAGGTAGATACTGCTATTAGAAATCCGGATGACACAAAAAAAGAAAAAGAAAAAGAAAAAAAAAAAAAATCCGGACGACACGTTAATCCTTCCCAACGGAGAAGCAGTCAGTGCCTTTAGGAGAAGGCTTCTCTAGGAGGAGAGTACAAGAAGAAGTCGTGAGCAAGTACAAGAGAACGTGGTGAGCAAGTACAAAAGAACGTGCTGAGCGAGTACAAGAGATCGTGCTGAGCAAGTACAAGAGATCGTGCTGAGCAAGTACAAGAACACGTGCTGAGCAAGTACAAGAGAACGCGGTGAGAAAGTCCAAGAGAACGTGATGAGCAGCGTGAGAAGGTATCCTTTTGTAATAATTGCATTTCTGTGGGACGCTGGAGCCGGTATCCAGCAAGCAGGTGATACTCCCCACCAACAGAACGGAGCTTTTTCGGACAAAAATAAGAGCGAGATTGAAAGAGGAGACCTATAGAAAGCAAGCCGAAGAGTCGGCGAAGATACACGACAACCGCCTCTCACACCTACAAGCGGCTCCAGATACATTACCAGGCCCAGAAGAGAGCCGCTCAGAGATAAAAATTCACAGCTCAAAAGCTCAGGGTTCGTTGACTACCCCAGATGAAAAACTCAGAGACAAACGATCGCCAAACACAAGGAAAGTCAGGAACAGAAGAGAAAAGAGAGTGCGAGAGACAGAGAGAGAGAGAGAGGAAACCCGAGAGACACGAAAGAGGAGAGGAGACTTACAGAGAAAAGCACAGAGAGCAAGTGAGAGGAAGAACGCCAGAGGGGAAGCGAAAAGTGGGAAACGGAGAGTCGTGGAAGAACAAACAGAACGCGACAGATCGGTGTTCGTCGACTCATACCTTTGCTCGAATTAGACTGGTTTGCCTTCCTCTCCCTGGCCATCCTGGCCTTCTGCCCATTTCCGCCACCCATGATGAAGAAGACGAAGATCTTGAAGCGAACCAACCAACCAACCAACCAGGGAGAAAGAGTCCAAGAGAGAGCGCAGCTTTTGCAGCGAATGCGGTGTTCTGTGCGACGGGGCGTGCACAAGAGACTTCAGCGACTCTTCAACGACTCTCCTGCTTCCGAATGGGATAGCAATCAATCAATTGCCGCTACAATGGGCGGCCCGCAGCTCCACCTCTACGACTTCGCAGACTGAACGAACACCTGGAAGTAGCCGGCGGAGAAGGCGAAGACGAAAGTGCGCCGAGCGGTGGTGACTAGGCGAGCCTAGCACCTCACCTCCCTCGCCAGCTCCTCTTCTACGACGAACGTGGTACCCGCTGCTACTTCATATCGATATATGAGAGGGAGAGGAGAGAGAGGATGAGCAAGGAAGTTTAGCTCACTTTGACCACTACAGAGCTTGCCTGAGCAGGGCGGGGTGACAGAGTACAGACACCCGCTCCTCTCTGCCGCCTCACCTTCGCGGGCGGCGGGTGCGGTAACCGTCCGGATCGGCCTGCCTCCCGCCTTCGGCGCCCTTTTCATCACAATCAGACAGATGTCTTCTATGTACCCGGGAATCGTATCGTGCTATAGTCCCCCTCCAAGACAACTACACACCTAAGACCCAGAACGCGCCCACGCGAATCGGTCTTCCAGAATCATGGCATATACTCAAATTAGGATTTTTTTTCACTTATTTGTGGGAGTTTTTCACTTATTTCTGGAAGTAATTGCTGTCAGATACATCCAGGTCGGGCGTTAATTATGCTCAGATTCATCTATCTAAGATAGTGTGCTAGTGTGACCCGCCCTTTCTTGCCAAGACTCTCTCCTAAACTCTGCGGTACGAAAAGAGGAAAGGGGAATACCTCCGGGGACAAGGTCCCACTTGCACTGATTAAGAGATTCTGGCCGTTGATCTTTGCAATCTACGGTCAATATCGCTTAATTCGTGTCGTGTAAGTGGGACCTAGCCCCGGGGAAGCAAAAACGGCCCTAGCCTGGTTGGTACTACTGTGTGTACTGGAACGAGCCTGCCAGCTTGCCAACCTGCCAACGCACTGTGCAGGTCCGTCAGGCACCGGAGTGGGGCCCCGCCGCTCGCTGCTACTTCCTTTTTTCTTTTTTTTTATTATTATGCTACTCCCTTCTAAGTTCGTAAGCCCCAAACGGAAAAAAAAAAGCAAGCAAAAGGTTTGCTTGGTTGGCTGCTAGGCTGGTTGGCCGTCCAACGCGCAGACATCTGCGACCCTCGAGGGACGACTGCGGGGTGGTAAGACCGACGAGTGGCTCGTCTTTCCTGATTTTACCTTTCGCGCTACGACACCTCCGCGCTCAGGCTGCAGTTTCTGTTGAGTTCTCGCGCGCCTTCGCTTCTCCTTCCGGTCAATGAAACTCAAATTCATCGAATAGTACGCCTGACGCTGACATCATCCTCGCTGTGGTTTCTTCAAGTTGGGGTCGTCTCCAGAAACTCGGCTCATTTGATGAGCCACACAAAATTAGAGGCCGGGAATTCCTCCACAAATAACCCGACCCTGGGAATACTGTACTGGGACCATTACCCAGGTCTGTACCCCACGGATATGAGGATGGAAAAGATGTCTGCCCACAAAATGCAGGCAAAGAATTTAGAGCGAGTTTTGCGGGGAAGTGCACTTTGTTTTTTGCGTAATACTTTGCTTTTTCGGGGCGGGCGGTGGGGACCTTTCCTATGGCTTGGATCCCACTATTGTTAGTGAGGCAATTTTGGGCAAAATTTTGGATCCCACAATGCACCGGGGCTTTCGGGACCAGAAACAAATTTCGCCTGTTTCTACTCACTATGTGCATCGAGGCCGCGACACCCGCCGCGAAACGGCACTTGTTTCGCAAAAGCCGCCAGCCCCCTGCCCTGTTCCCTAAAAGCTGCGAGCACCAAAAAAACAAAGTTTTTTTTTTTTTTTTTTCGTTTACGGCAGCGTGATTGGGTCCGACGCAAATGGACCAACATATTTCGGCAGGATTTTTGCGAAAGCCCCTCGAAGGACGAGCCTGTGGAGTCCAAAAAAAAAATTACGGACCGAAAGGCAAGGACCCTCCTTTCGAGAGGCTTTTCCGATTTTTTGTGAAAAGCCCCATGTGGGATCCAAGCCTATTACAGAAAAAACAAAGTGCACTTCCCTGCAAAACTCGCTCTAAATTCTTTGCCTGCATTTTGTGGGCAGACATCTTTTCCATCCTCATATCCGTGGGGTCCAGAGCTGGGTAATGGTCCCAGTGCAGTATTTCCCAGGGTCGGGTTATTTGTGGAGGAATTCCCGGCCTCCAATTTTGTGTGGCTCATCAAATGAGCCGCGTTTCTGGAGACGACCCCAACTTGAAGAAACCACAGCGAAGATGATGTCAGCGTCAGGCGTACGATTCGATGAATTTGAGTTTCATTGATCGGAAGGAGAAGCGAAGCCGGAGCGTGGCCGGGTCGTGAGCGGAGACTCCGAGCGTGGCCGGATCGTGAGCGGAGACTCCGAGAGGTAGCTCACTACCCGGCCACGCTCCAGCAGCGGGGGATGTTGGGTGGCGCATGCGGGGACTGGTGCAACAAATAATACCGAACATAGCGAACCTCCACAAACTTAAATAAAATATTTATGAAATGGTCTCTCCCAAAATCTTTTTATGAGAGATTAAAACAAAACAAATCATGATCCCACACTGAATTGGTAAAAAAAATCGAATCAGAAATTAAACGACTTGTTTTTCGCCGACTTTCGACCCCTTACACCTACTTGGAGTATGTCCGACTCTACCATAACTTTTACACACAATGTTCTTCCAGTACTTTCTCCCTCTCTCCATTTGTCGCTTTTCTCGTCCTTGAAATAGTAACTGGCAGGAATTTTCCTTCTGAGCAACTTGCATAGAGAGAGATTATTCATACAGACTTTCTTACTCTTTCTACTCATGGGAGGCGAATCAATTATTGATTGTTTCCCTAAATCCTTCTTTATCTCACTCATTATTCCCCTTACTTTTGAGAGCATTGAAGTGAGGGTTGAATCCTCTTTTCTTTTACCAGTTCGACATTGCCTCTTAGACTACATCAGGCGAAATTGCAAACGAAGTGTCTGATTGAAATTCCCTTCGCTGAAATTTGATCGGATCCTGACCCAATTTGATTTGCCGGTTACCCCACGGATAAGTTCCTGCTGCTCTGCCTCAGAGAAATTTGCAAGGAAACTAATACATTTTTGTTTATCCGTTAAACCTTGTATCTGACGAGCGGTCCTTTCATAGTCAAGAAGAAATTTTCCTTCTACTATGTACGCATCCCGCTTGATATTCTTCAAATCCTCTAATGTCGTCAATTTATCCCCAAGCCAAAACTTCTCTAACATGGCATCTCGAAAATCCGACAATGTTGATGCTTCGACTATTTTTCGAACTACATTTACAAGATCATTTTCGATATATCTCAGAACTAATCATAATATTTTATGATCATCCTAGTTATTGATGGATGCAAGTTGTTCAAACTTATTCAGAAAAGTGGAAACAAAATTGTCATCGAAAAGAGGGATTTCTACTTTTGGCAGACTTTCTCTCTCCGCATCCCTCTGTTATAGGAGATGAACTATCCTTTGAAGATTCGATATATCTCAATCTTCATGACCACCTTCATTTTCACTTGCTGCTTTCATTTCTCATGACCATAACAGAAAATCAGGCACAAGGTCAGTCTATCTCTATACAATGTAATTCGATAACTTAATCCTACTTCACATTTGATCAAATTTTATATCTCTCATACTCCTTTTATCTCCTTCAAAATAATTCAATAAAATACTCGAGTGTCGTTTCGCTAGGGACAACGGTAGTTTGTCGTTATCCCCGACAACAGCGCCACCTGTCGAGCGCATCGGCCACCGTCTTTTTTCGCGAAGAGGTGGGAACCCTCCCGACCATGTCACGCAGGAGTTTACCAAAAACAATCTCAAGAGACAACTCGGGAATGACGCGAAATAATCCCCCGAACCGCCGAGACGGCCGAGTGGTTGCATCGTTCCTTCGTCGCTCTAGTCGGGTGTGCTAGTTGTACATGTCGTGGTCCCCTACGACAGGACAGGTTCCATGGGGCATAAGTTTGCTTCCCTAAGGCGTTGTCACCACCCTTATGGGCGTATCCCTACCGAGTTACCGACCCACATGCGAAAGTTTTTAAATGCAATTGCAGAGGTAGGTCAGTCGAGGGCGTTTGCTCGCTGTAGTATAGGCACGTGTGATTAAAACGCCAATTGGACCCGGACGTCGTTCGTTCATTAGGGCGCTGGTCTCCTAAGAAACGAAGCGTACGCCGGTCGACTAGGATGATCTCAACCAAGTGCGAAACCCACAATATCCTAATCCATTTAGACACCAGTCAAAAGAAAGTTAAACGACCACATCAACGGAAAAAATTCTCAGAATTAAACAATCATTCTATAATAAAATTACAATCTAAATTTTAAATTTTCATTCCATCTTAAAAAATGTCATTCCAATTTTATTTTTTTTCATCTTACTTGCAAACTTTCATTCCAAGAATAGGGTATCCCTTTTTATTTTGACTGTATGCTAGAGATGGAATGAAAGTCTGGACGAGTTCATTAAATATTTTAATTGGACTGTCATTTTAAGTAAGGATTTTCAATCGTAAACAGGTTAATCCAATATAAATTAGAATGTATTTGTTGTAGTAGAATGAAAATTTAATTAAAATATTTCATTAACTCGTCCAGACTTTCATTCCATCTTGTATATATAAAAAAGAATAGATCGTGGTCAATAGAAAAATATTTTCAATCTGAAATAATGACAGATAAAACTCAAATCATCATTAGATACATCCAGTAACACAAGATCGAAATACAATCTGACCATCTCAGGTCGAACATCACAAAACAATCAGTCAACCACAAATAAGAAATTGACTATCGACAATAATATTGATGCATCCGACAAGGTAGTCGCATGGACTTAGTTTTCACTTTATGAGATGCGCTGCCAAAGTTATTCATTCTAACCCACCGCCGACTTAAGACTAGACCCACGTATTCGTCTTCGCACATTTCTAATCTTATTGGATGACTGACTGTTTTTCGAATGATTCTTGATCAGGTACATTGCTTGAAGTGTTGCATGTCTCTCCCTCCAGAAAGTGGTCTGAGGAACTCCTCCTCTTCCGAGCACAACGCTCGGATCTCAGAAGTCGGACCGTCTTCACCGAATTGGCAAAGTACCCCCCCGTACAACGGTCCACTCTGGGTCGATAACAGGGTCGACTCCTAAAGCAACGAACCCCCGCCCCAGATGCTTCCTTGAAAGATGAGAATGTGTTCACCTCAAGCAGTTTTTAACTGTTCCCGTCTTTTTCTTTCCGTAAGTTCAAGGTACCTTAGACAAAAAAGAGATAGAGGTGATAAAACGAGAAACATTTTGACAAGTATAGGTAG